ATGTCTTGAAACTATTTAATTAAATCAATAGGGTCAAGTGGTAAATATTTTGACCCGCGTCTGATTAGTGAAGAAAGCCCCTGGGGGCAGACAAAAGATCGGACCCGCATGCTCCACTCCAACCTATGCCGATCTGAGCTGATCCGAGATCTGGAGCTCCAGCCGGGACAAGATGATGACGGCGATAGTCTCCGGGCAAAACTTCTGCTGTCGTCTGCCGTGCCACAAATTCATTCGCTTAATTGAATGAATGGCGTTTTAAACGGGAAATTAAGCGCATGACTTGGGATGACTCGAGTTCGCCGGATAGAAGCACATCAGTTCTCCAGGAGTTCGTATTCGGATTCGGGTTCGGGTTCGGCTTTGGGTTCAATTGTCAATTAAACGGAAGCTGCGTTTTCTCAACTTTGACTCGGCATATTCTTGGGAAGCTCTCGATGTGTTTTCTCTTTCCGCTCCCGCTGATGTGAGCCACTTGTGTGGCACATTTGCCCAACAGCTAACAAGGTACTTGACAAGGTCGACTGCGGAGAGGGAAAGCAATTGTCGAAGGGGCAGGGAGTCACCCCCAACGAAAGGGCAGAGTTCAGCTGCCGTGACCAAAAGATGGAAGGTCCAAGGAAGTTTTTTAGTAAATGCTTAGAATGAGACTATAGAGTTCTCATTAATAGTAAGGGAGGCAACTAAAGGTGAATAAGTAAGAAATATTGCTCATTTACTGTTCACTTTAAGGTTAAATCAATAACTAACTATGCATAGAACTTAAGCTTACCATTCACATACTTTTTCCTACCTTCTAACTAAGATTAACATTCCATTTCGATCTTAAATCCAAAATGATCCATAGAGTAAGATTCCCACAGTCCGCACATACCCCTTACCTAACCTAAATCGCGGCAATGGGTAGCAGAAACAAAGTCAACAAGCCAACGCCGTTCGACCTGGATGTGAAAAGCAAATGGCATTTGGCCGGGACGGCGTTGGGCCTCTGAGTTTGCGGCTGCGACTGTGGCAGACACTTAACTTCAATTGAAATCAGTCAATTGGAATCAATGAGTCCATTTCGTCTGTTTCCCAACACCGTAAAGCGCACGGAGCCGGCGTATTGAAACAAACGTTTTTGTTTCACACACACAGGGACAAAGGGAGGAGGAGATATAGAGGTTGGAAGGAGGAATCGGAATCGGAATCGGAATCGGAAACCAGAACCGAGTTAATGCGCCTTTTTAAGTGCTCAAGTGTTTTGGCTCTCGAAGTGCAACGAAAGCTTTCCCAGGAAATTACGAAGTCGGAAAAAGGATATGGGACTACGGATATACTGGGGCAGCTGCAAGTGCCTCCCGTTCCCAAAGTCACTTCGTTGCACAACCGCAATTGTTTTGCCTATGAAAATATTATCCTTGTTTTTTTGTTCGCCTCGTATTACCCAAGGACTTATTGGCCAACTTATGCCAGCTGCCCAGATTAGGGAATATCTGCTGGTGTAGGCTTTCTGATCCCTTGACCTTTGTCTCCAGCAGATGTCGTAGATAAACGTTGCCAGACATTGGGTAATAGCTATTCTCATTTTTGGCAAAATCCTCAAGGAGTGAGTTATCCTCTATGTGGAAGAGGCCATTCAGTGCGGTTGCAAAAGTAGATTATCAAGCGATCCAATTGTTGTCTAATATGTCCAACCTTCAATGGAAAAGTAGATCATACGATCTTCAAGTGTTGGGTTAAGAACTGACAAAGGGTAGCCAATGGTACAAGTTACTCATGGGTTAATAACTCGAAAGTGCCAGTCATGGCACAAAAGAATACGAAGGGTAAGATGCTTTATAGGAGAGGAACAATAGCAACTTCATGTAATATTTACAAAGAGTATTGCAAAAAATATATCCAAACTTATCCAGATTTGTTATTAGTGATAAATTCATAAAACATCATCGAATCACGACTCTCTATAGGTAGTTATTAATATATTAAAGCTACCTCTCGACCCACCTCAAGTCCTAAATGCATCAGATGAGGGAGTATGAATGCCATTCCCATTTCCAGACTTGGCTTAAACTTCAAGTCACGCCCTCAAAAGGTGACCACACCCCCAAATGAAACCAACACAAGACCGTAAGCTGAGCAAAGGAAAAATGTATAAAAAATGCCAAGATAAAACCACATAAAAAGCGGCAGCCGCCAAAGTCATGAATTACAATGCTTAAAATCGCTCATTAGGAACTAAAATTTGTAAACTTGAGGCGATAAAGATCTGCTCGCGAGCAGCGACAGTCAGACATGGCTAACGCGAACAATGGCCATGGTAAAAATAGAGGCAGCCGAAGAAAGAGCGTGTGGAAATAATTTGGTTACAATTAAATAACAAAAGAATTTGTTTGGCAACTCTTGGGCGCTTTTTGGCCAACAACGAATGCCCCATTATGGCCGCCACCTGCCCCGCCCCGTTCGGCGGCATTACAAAGTACTGTACTCCCTCCCTATGGCCATTTCCAATGCCATTGTCCAATTGTTAGGGCTCAGCTTCAGCTGTCCCGCTCCAGATTAAGCTGCGACTATAATTAAGAGCGGAACGGGTCAGCGAAGGAGTGCTGGATCGGAGGCAGCGGCAGGGGCAACTGTTTACCATAACAATGAGCCGACTGCAGGGAAAACACCTTTGCCTACACTGGGAATAATATTCTACAGAAGTCAGCCTTTGTCTTATGATACCCAACTTCATTTTCATCAAATAACAATGTTTTCTCGCTGTGCATCTGCAAGAAAGAAAAACTTTTGTCGCTGGCCTGGTCAGGTGTTAATGTCTGTGTTTATGGGCCAAGTGAATAGAGCCGACCCCTATATATGAGGTGTGCAATTATCGTCATTAGTCCCCCCCATCCCCATTCAGTCGCCCCTCCTTTGTTCTTCTGACGGTTGCCGCTTTAGTTGCGGCTTGTTGTGTATCGATGTTGCATGCTATAATTTTGAAAATAATAAAATGATTTCTTCATGCCAGTCACAGTTCTGTTGCACACACATCATAACCATCATAATCGTCGCAGTCATCATGGCTATCCCAGAGCCTCCAACCCCATCGCCTTCGTCATTATGCTTATGATCATCGGTCTCGCCTCATCCAATTATTACAGTTTAGCCATGCCACAAGTCAAACAAAAGATCCCAGGCCTGTCAGAGTCCCGTCAGATGTTCTCGCTTTTTTAAAGGTTACCAAAAATTGGGGTTGAGTGGGTAGCTGGCGGTGGTTGCCTGAGGACCCGAGGTGTTAATGAGTGGGTTGGCCACGCAGTTTGGCGGGAGAGCGCTGTAGGGGATCCGAAAGCAGAAGGACTTTTTAAGGACTCTAATTCGGCGTCCTTAAATATTAACATTCATTCTGCATTATTTTAAATCGCGTTATTGAGTATTTTGCATAATATATGACATCGTAAAATTAAAATCATAAGCCCGAAGAATCTTTAAGAACGTAAGCCCTCTCTTTGTTTTTACTGCTGGACAATAAAAATTAATGATGAGACACATAAAACTTGGAATATTCATGAATATTGGAAAGAAAGAAGGCAAAGATACTCTCTTCTTGGATGTACAGTATAACATCTCCCCATTACCACACTTTGTTGATGAACTCCTACTCGTCTAATCGACTAATCAAGAGCATTACAAAACCCACAATAAACTGGCGCCACTTTCAATCTAAATCAGAGTTAGCGCTCTTTGCGACACAAAGTTTCTTGAACTTAGGCCTCAGACGTTCTACACAAGTTAATTGAGTCAACTGGCTGTGACATCATGCGACTGTGAGCGAGAGATCCGCCTGAATATAGGGATAATTCGACGGAGATGTTTATACAGACAATAATCCGTCGCGCAAGGCGAATAAATTGAAAGAAATGGGGAAATCTGAAGGGGAATTTCTGTTGGGGCCTCCTGAGAGAGAGATTTACGTGGAAAAGAGACAAACAAATAAATTTACTTTGATTGAATAATGGCTCCGTAATTGGCAACTTGAATGGAATTGAGTAGCAGGCAAAACGCAATTGAAAACTGTAACAACAAATGCAGTTCGCAGGAATACGACTACGAGTGTATTAACTAAGTGAATTGGATAATCTCATTCGCATTCCCATTCTCATTCTCAATCCCAATCTCATTCCCGTTCTCGTCTAAGATTGTATCCTCAATTGAAATGTGCAACTGAGAAATGTCAGCCGGCAATTGTCGTCTAGATGGATGCGAATATCACGCATACGCCCCGTAAGCTGCAGTTGCACAATCACAGTTTGTTAACCCCCGGGCCAGCCGATGAATCACCACCACCTCGGTCATGGGAGTGAGCAAGTGGATCGGCCTGAAAGATCGAACAGCAGTCAAGGTGCGCCAGACAGCGACTAAGAAAAATGAGCGGTTATTACAGACCAGCGCCATGGAGCTGACTTTTAATTTCATCTAATAAATATGACTTGCCTAGAAGTCTCTCTTGGCGCCATAATCTTACAAAATACACTCAGAAAAGTATTGCCAGTTTCGGAAGATATACAGTTCATACTTAATATTCAATCAACATAGTTTAAAAGAAACCAAAACAGTTCAGGATGATCTGTTTTCTTCTCAAAAGGTTACTGAAACAGGGAAGCTGATTCCTTGGAATCTAAATAGTAAGATTTGACTTCACACTAAGAATAAATCCATTCGTAATCCCGCACTTTATTTCCCTTACTTTGTTGTCGTGTGTGGGACATGCGCTATAATTTGATTTGATTTGACACTTGGCAGTGGCTTTTAGCGCTACTTTCACAGCAAACCGCATAGGTATAGACACACCATATGACACACACATGAGTGTGCCTGCCGGTTATTAAGGACTTCCTGTTTGCCCGATTGCCGACAAGTTTGTCGCGACAACAGATTCATTTAGCGGCCACTGCAGTTCAATTTAACACCCGTCGACACTAAAGTCTCCCAAGCTCCCCCGCATATCTCATTAATTTTCGCCTTTTTGTTTTTCAATTTTTATTTCAATAGAATTTTAATTGGTTTCTGCTCTCGTCGCTCCGTTCGGTGTCTAAATATACAATAATATATAAATTAAATAGTAGTGCTTAGTTCTTTGCCTGCAGCGCTTAAGTATCGTTAATCATATTACAAACATATGTCGTGGATATGTGACAACAAGTTACCAACTGTGAAACTCTCGTTCGGAAAAGCCTTGCAGAGATCAGGTTTTCAAGGGGTCTGAGTGTGGACTACATATAGCCATTTTCTTCTGGCATTTTCAAGGTGTTATAGGTAGACATTTGATGGCCTTTCTGGTTAATAACGGACATTAATTAGCTTAGAACGGAATATTTATTTTTTAATTGAATGATTTATGAAGATATTGTTAAAGGTGCATTAATATATATAAAGAAAATTAACTTTCCCTGCTCTGCAAAGTTTCCGTTTACATTCGGTGAACCGAATAAGGTTTCTTCTCTATCTCGAGCTTTGATTTTCATGGTTTTCCTCCCTTTCCTCATCTATTTACAAGCGTCTAGCGCCTCAGTCGCGGCTATATCTATGTACAGTGGATCCTTATGAGCTACAGAAGCTGCTCCTCCAGCTAAAGTCTAAGATTCTGGGGCCTAGACTCTTCAGCTATTGCGGGAGACAACGGTGACGGGTTTGATGAGGGCCTGTGGCGAAGGTCCGGGCGAATCTCCGCCCCCCTGAAGGTGATTGGGCGGCGAGAGGGGCGGCTGACCCACCAGGTGAGCGTGGTGGGGCGGAGGCTGGCCCGATGCCGATGCCGCCACCACCGAAAGTTGCCTCTGATGGGCTGCCAAAGCGGCGGCTGCTGCATGTTGGTGCAACAGCTGTTGGTACTGCAATCGCTGGTAGAGCTCACTGCTCGAGGGAGGTGCAACGAAGGGCGGAGGTGGTCCCGGCGGTCCCTGAGGACCCGGGGGTCCAGGCAAGCCCGGCAAGCCCGGAGGCATTCCCGGATGTCCTGGTCCACTTTTCGGGGCAAAAGGATTATAGCGCTGGTACATGCTGGCCAGCAGGCTTGGCGCCGTTGGAGGATAGGTCAGAAACTGGCCAAACTGAGGATAGGCAGCCAGTCCGGGGAACATGGGTCCGATCAGGGATCTCTTGAAGGCCGCCAGTCTGGAGCGTGAGGCAGCTGTTGTCCTCCGCCTCAACTTCCCCGTCGATCCTCCTATGAAAACGTCCTCTGCCGAGGGATCCAACATCCAGTAGTTACCCTTGCCAGGATCATCGTAGTGTCGCGGGACCTTCACAAAGCACTTATTCAGGCTGAGATTGTGCCTGATGGAGTTCTGCCAGCCCTGCTTGTTGTCCCTGTAGTAGGGATGGTTGGTCATGATGTACTCGTAGATGCCATTCAGGGTGAGACGCTTCTCCTGACTCTGCCGGATGGCCATCATGATCAGGGCATTGTAGCTATAAGGCGGCTTCTCGTTGCCCTTCTTGTCCTTGACGGGCTTTCCATCGTTGGATTTGTTCTCCGCATCGCCATCGGTGGTCTCGCCATCACATTCTATGTCCTCCTCCACGAACTCCTCGTCGGCTTCATCCGGATCGCTTTCGTTGGGATTGACAACGGGAGCCGGCGACATGGAGGTCACATCCAAATCCGATTCGGGATCACTTTCCGCCTCCTGATCCTCAGATGATCCCCAGTTGGTGGCATTCAGGTTGTTGTTATTGTGGTTGGGTGGAAACTTCGCAGAGGACTTCTTCTCCACTTCCTCCTCCTCGTCGTCATCGTGGTGCTCCAAGGTCTCGGGTAATATGGCGTTGATGGAGAAACTGGACTTCAAATGGGGCGTCCTGGCCATTTTCATCAGGTTGGTAAGATTCAGACCGACGGGATGGCTGTTTTGGAGCGGATGATGGTGGGTGGTGGGCGGCAGTGGGTGATGGTGGTGCTGAAAGTGGTGGCTGTGGGCGCTGATCTCGCTGGACGGCAGACCTTCCTCGATCTTCACCATGTTGTTCAGGTTCAGGATGATTTAACAGCTCCACATTGCCTTTAGAATTGGTGGGTTTGCTTTTGGATTTGACTTTTCTTTAAGAATGTTATATAAGTATTCTTGGTTTTATGAAGGATTTATGGATCTTTCAGTTCTTTTCAGGACTTCAAAGATCTTTTTCTTAGTTTTCAATATATTTTTACTAACAAAATTTGATTATCGAACTTCAAATTGATTTATATTTGGGTTTCCAATTCACTAGATTTTCAAATTGGGCAATTCGTTCAGTTTGCCTCGTTTTACGTTCAGTTTTACCGACGCTCGACGACCAGACACAGCCCACAAAAACACACGATTTCACGTCCGCTGCTCAGGGGCTTTCAGTGTAGACTAAAAACGAGAATTCCCAATAATTCCCAATCGCAGTCGGTCCGGTTTTCTTCTTTTTTCCTCTAGCAGGCTCTTCAGAGGTGTTATCGGGGGTGGTTCTCGGGCCGACCAATCAGCGCTGTGGAACGAATGGCCAGGCGTCTCTCTCTCGCTCACTGCAGCCGCTGAACTCTCCTTCCCGCTCAGATTTATTTTCCCATTCGTTTTGCTAATTGCCGCCGACATGAAACAAGAAAAACGCCGACGCCACGCACACAAATAAACATAAACATAGATATGTCTAAGTATATATATATAAACATATATATACAGAGAGAGAGAGCACACCCCACTCCACGTAGATGGGTCACCCTTTTCCGGATTGTGGGTTGCATTTTGATACGCTAGGTCTTTGTGTTGCCTTTGCTCTTTTCAATCGGCAGCTGTCGCTGCGTTGTTGGTGTTAATGTACTTCTTGTTTTACCTTAACCCATGGTTGCCATTATTAATCGTTGTTGTTGTTATCGTTTCAGTTGCCATTTGCCCCCGTTAATTTTTCGGCAGTTTGCAAACTTACGACCGGCGAAGGGCCTAAAGGGGGTTGCGATTCGGTTAGGTTTCTGTGAGCGAGATTTCTGAGTTCAGATTTCGGATTTTTAAACCCGTAGAGGAACATTAAGATCACACATTATAGCTGCCTATAAAGGGGGAGGGGTCGTAATCATGTCAGTTATAGTTTTCTCTTTTATGGCCGCGTGAGACTGCTTTGCAGTTTCATGTTTTTTGCTGGCAAAAGGAAATTCGTGGTTAGAATATCCACCATTCGAAATATTTCACTTTTTTAACTTTATTTATATCATTTACTATTAAATTTTATTGTATTTTATAGTTAAATTATTGTATTTAGAAACTGAATATATAAATTAATGAAGTTTGACAGTAGTTAAGTTAACTCTTACTTAAGGTAAGCAAAGGTAAGTAGTTAAAAAAGAAAAGGAAGAAACTGTAAGGAACTTTTCTCTTTAAAAATCTCTGAATATGTAATTAAAAACACTTTTAATTCCAAATTAAATCAAATTTCTTATAATTTTAACTGACTACCACAAAGTTTTCCAAACTTTCGTCACAACCAAGTCCCATTTTTCCACAAAGACCAACTTTTCAACAGCCAAGCAAATGAAAAACAATCTGACAATTAAATGTAATTTGGTGCAATCAATTTCCCAGAAGGAATTTTCCAGAACGCCTGCAAAAGTGGGATAGCAGCTGCTGGCATTCGCATGAGCCACCAAACACATGCCACATGACCGGCCAACAAAGACCCCATGGCCACGTCTACATGGTCTGCATGCCAGCCCCTCCCTCCCTAACCGACCATAACCGAACTCAAAATCGAAATCATTGCTGTAATCATAATAATTGTTTTCACAAATTGGGGGCGTGCACTCCTCGGCCGTTCGATTGGATCCCAAAAGAGAGGGCACACACACACATGACTACACCTATAGGTCTGTAAAGGTGAGTGGAAAACATGTTTTACCTGAACGAAAACCATAAAAAAGAAGCCGAGGACCAAGACGACGACGCCATGTTTGCATCGGTATCTGGTTTTGGGTGTAAATGTGTGTCTGTGTGTGTGGTCTCCACACTAGATTGCGGTTGTGTGCGTGTGGCCACAACTTATTGGATAGCCGAGTGGAGACATGCGCTCTCTGCCTTGGAGAATGGGGAATGCCCCCCTCCATGACTCTCCGGTCAATACAAAATGGCGCCCACCAGTCTCCAATTGATTTTCCGCAGCCCATTGTTTTCCCGGTATTTCAATTAAATTATTTATCATTCTCCGCGTTAGGTAATTGTTTTGGCTGCTTTGCCTACAACACTGACGGGGCTTGGAGACTAAATGGATTGGCAACTTAATGATAGGGGACTTGTACTCGGAATGGTAATTATGGGTCCCTTTGAAATTGTATGTTTGTGCTAAATACATAATATAGATGTTCCGAGAGGGGGATTCTTTATTTATTATGTTATTATATTACGATGTGGTATTTTCAAACTAACTAAAAAGTCGGGGGCTGTTCTGTCATTTATTGCTAAAAGAAATGAGGGTGGTGTGTCCGTTCGTTATTACTCTGCGATATAAATAAGTTAAATAGGAATGTAAAATGGAAAAATAAAGTATTTATACATTCTATATACTCAGACAATCCATCATCCCACTCCTGTTGATTAACCAAATAAATATAAATTTGTTTACTTCCAACGACTCATCTTTAGAAAATGCCGCTTCAGAAGCAAAATAGCAGCAGAATAGGCAACAAAATCTTTTCGAAAATATTCAAAATATCAACAATTCAAAACAAACAAACCGACTCAGAAGTTCCCGACAATCGGGAGTCCGGAAACTACAGAGCGTAATTACCCCGGACAAACAAAAACCCATGAAAAACGAGCCACGGAAAAAAACCAACTTGTCATTGATCAAAACGGCGAACAGGAGACGGATTCCTGGGCTACCGAAAGGGATTAATATTTCAGGATTTCGGATGTATATACCCATTCGGAGTTGGGGGCGAGAGTACTTTGCTAATCAGCTAGATTTATAGCAGGCATTTAGTTTTGTTCCAACCCGAAGGTTTTTGATATTTTGGCAGAAATAAATCCGCGACGCTTAACCCTTTAGGGAATTCGCTGGTGCTCAACCCGTTCCCGGCCGTAAAGTTGCCACGCCCCGTGGAGGAACGCCTACGCGCAAGTCCTTCCGGGTATATATGCCTTATTTTGATAGACTCAATGGCAGTTTAACCGCAGGATTAGCTTGTTTGTCCAACGGATCAGCGCGGTCCATGCAAACAAGGCTCTAAATCTTGGGATGTGGGCCTACCTGCGGGATCGGGCTTTCTGAAGGGGTTAAGGGTAGGCTCGAATCGAATCGGATCGGATCGGCGGGATTTAAGGTATAGCCAGTCGCTTCCGCTGTTTATATGGTCTGTTTACATGGTCGCAGTCAGCAATGGGAATCCTACAATGTCCTACCTACGCCCAGACACCCATTCCAGCTACCGTTTCGAAAGAGTTAAGCAAGGATTAGATCGATCCTGGCTCGGAACGAGGACTTAGCTTAGCGCGTATTAATCTCATTTCGAGGACCTCAAGCTGTGTCCTCCTCGACGTCCTTGCTCCTCCCTCCCTAATCGCCGTCGCTTAGCCATGCAAATATTTTCAATTTGGCCCTCAGCTCGATTAAAGGGAACGGGTTAAACCAAGATGGTGACATCTGACTTAGATTTTGTTTTGGGTATCTTAAAAAGGAGACTAAATACAGTACTAGTATTCAAAATTGCTGATAAATACTAAATAATAATCTGTATTTATATCAGTAAGTTATTTGTACCCCTTAAACACCCTCAGTTCGAGACCTAGTTAGGCTTGACTTTTAACACCTTTATCTAAACTCTTTTTCGAAAATATGTTACAAATTCCAAACAATAGTTCCCACCGTAAAATAGAGTTTTCCTTTCGGCACTGGCCCGTTTTCAAGGGGAATTTTTGCAAAGGGGAAAGGGAACTCACAAATTGGCCAAATTTTGGCAAAATCACGTTTACGGGTCTTTGGACAGTTCCGGGGCTCGGACACACTTGTTACATTTGTTGGTGTTGCTGTTATCGTGTGCTTCGTTTTGCAAATAAACAGCCAAATGAGTGTCCTAGAGGTTGCCTTGAGTACGGCGAAGGGTCAAATCGGGGAAGGGGTCGCTATTGGGGGTTGCTCCATGGACCAGAGGCCAGGGACCACTGGTCCATGCTGCCAGAGCATATGGTTTGGCCAAACAGCGGGGCGATGAGCCGGAAACCAGGATTTAGAAAAAGGAAACTTTCAGCTTCAGTGGTTGATAAATACCCTCCAGCAAGGAGTTCACTTTGAAAGAGTTTTTGATGGAGATTATCTCTGGGAGATTATCTGGGAATAGAGTGTGACCATATGGTGGATGGAAAGATGGGCAAGCAAGATTGTTTGACCAACAAAATCACTTAATTCGAAGGGTAAACAATGTTTGTCAGGTATGAAAACTAAAGTTTTAAAACAGCTATCAATATTCAGAAAAATCAATCATTACTTGTATGTATTATTATTTATGAAATTGAATTAAATTTCAGTTTGCAACCCTCCGAAATGGTAACGTAGCGCACCCAGGCGTTCACTTAACCCTAAAAAAGCACAAAGCTCACCCCCTTCCCTTGGCTAACACTTGATAATTGTTGACAATGTGTTATAAACTGATTTACACGCATTTAACGAAAAAGAGAAGCACTGCCAAAACTCACGCAGAGCCAACACCAACAACAAATAACATTAACAACCCACAAACGCTGACTAAAACGGGGCAACGGCAGCGGCAGTGCCAGCGCGACACTCGTCAGCGGCATCGTTAAGGGCAACCGGAACACCAGCAGCACTACACAGTGAAAAAATATGGAAGCTCAAAGAAGATATATTATCAGTTTTTCAGCTGAAATAAAAGATTTTCTATCATTTCTCTTCTTAATATCATTCGAAAGATGTCTTCTGCTCCTTCCGCAGTGTGGTTAACATATCAGTGTGGCCATATTAGTAAAAATTAATAGGAGTTTATTTAGTAAATTATTGCAGATCAAAGACTTTGTTCATATTTTTTATAGATTAAAACTTAGACCACTTTTCGCTCAGTGCAGCATCACGAAAAGCGGCAGCAGCAACCGCTTAGATGTCATCGTTAGCGCTGGTGGAAAGGTCAGTGGCAGGGGGTGGTGTGGCAGGGGGAGGTGTGCGTGGGGTGGGGCAAAGTCGCGTGTGCCACGCGAGGGTGGCACACTCACACTAACACTGACACATACGAGCCAGCGTTCCACATAGAAGGGGACCCGAACCCCGGGCGTAATGTGGCATGGTGCTGCATGGCTTGGTGCGATGTGCTGCCCTGTGATGTGTGTTAATGAACTGCGTAACAATTAACGGAGCAACAACAAGCGTCAACAAGCGACCGCAGATCAAAAGTATATATAAAACTATCTCAGATAACCGAAGCTTGGAATACCCTTAAATATTATAAAATGTATCTTAAAAAGGGGGAGTGATCTCTGATTCGTAATTAAGAAAAAATCAAATCAAAATCAAAATTGAGGATATGAAGAATAGGAATTTTCTATTTAACATTTCTTAAAGTTTAAAGTAATTAAGAGTCAAAAAATATTATAAAAACATTTCATAAATAGAAAAATAATACAAAAATAATATATTTTATTTCCTTACAGAACAAAAATGCTATTATATATCAATAAAATCCTTGCCTAACCAAAATCACTTTTTGTCGCATAAAAAACATATTCATCTCCGATTCAATATACCCCCATGCCAGGGCATACAAAGTCAGCGGTCACGCGTAAGACTCGAACGTTAGAGACCAAAACTTGCGGGTACTTTTGCGGATTTATTGCCACGGAAGATCGGTCAGAGTGCTTAGAAGTTGTTTGATGGCCTGTTTATGCTGGTGCTTCCTCAGCTTCCTCTAAAAGATCGGTCAGTTCGGAATAGTTCTGGAGAACTAGAGCTCTCCTCCCCGAACCAAATCAATTTAATTGAGGTCCGAGTGCTGGCCCTTGGCCTGGCTTAATTTGTTGATTGTCTGCCGAGTTGTTTTGTGTTCTGCTGTGGCTGTGGCAGTGACCCGTTGAAGCTATTAGCAGTGTGTATCAGTGTGAAATCTGAGGCACAGTGAGTGGGGATTCCATCAGCCAGATCTCCGGAGAAGTCAGGGCTAGGAAGCAATTAGCTGATGCGGCGGGAGAAGGCCTGGAAATCAAAGTCAGCAGGATCCTTTGTAGATTATACAACGAAATCATCAAGCTTGAAAGTTATGATTCTGGATTATGAAACGTCTTTATTTTGAATTAATTTATTCAAAAGAAACTCCTGAAGAAGTCAAAATCTGTTATTCTGAATAGAGATCTGAATCTAATCCTGTCAGTTCTAAGAATCTGAAGTAATTTGTGCGTTCAACTGGCGAACTTTGAAGATTTCCTTAGCTGCTTTTGCTCAGAACTTAACCTCGACTTGCCCCCTGTATAGACCACTTCCTCTAAGACTTTTCCTTCCAAGACATCTGCATTCGCCATTCAAAGGGCAATTCCGCTGCTCAAGTGCACGATTGAAAAGTTCAGATGCCAACTGATCATGCAAGCTGTCTTGTCCGCATCTTCAGGGCACAGATGGCACAGATGGCATCCACAACTGAGCTGACTTAACCCCAGCCCCAACCCCAACCCGGAATGAACCCACTTCCGTTCCATCCGAGAAGGGGATTTGCTCATATCAAGTAGTGTTAACTGGACGGGTCGAGTGCTCAAGTGCAACTCGCAATTACTCATTCATAATTTCTGCTTAATTGCGAGCGTATTCCTCATGGGCAATTGAAAGAACTACGCATCGTACTAGCTTCATTCATTCATTTATTTGTTATTGGTTCCTCCGAGGGGGGATGGCGTAAATTAACTTAATTGAAATTCGGGTCAACAGAGAGGCCAAGATAATGAAAGAAACTAATTAAGGAGCACTGCCGAACTGCCCACATCTGTGCCCGAATGCTGTCGCTTGTTACTTTGCGCATTTGTCGCTCAAATATTTTCAAATATTTTCCCATTCGCTGTGTTTGTGTTGCCATTATTTGATTATTGGGCGACCACTCGCGCCCCATGGGTTAACAATTATTGTATTAATAAATATTTGAATGCGCTGCCCTCATCTGAACCCATCAGCCCAGTTTATGCCGTGGAGTGGCCAGCCACATCAGTTTCAATTAAAAACTCATTTTGTGGTCACTGTGTGGTCGCCACTCGGGTTCTCCCTCTGCTGGGTTGGGTTCGATCTGAGCTTGCATTATTCCTAGGTGACACACCCAGAACTTGCGGGGCTTCTATATACGAATATATGGCTTTCTGATTCCACTTCTCCCGATATGGGCCTGTGTTAGAGGTGGCCCATCAAGCCGGATTTAAAAACCAATCGATAATGCTAATGGCTGCTACTAACTGGGCTAGCAACTGCAGAGGTTCCCATCCACTGATCCAATTATCCAACCAAGGTGTAGCAATTTCGTTAAGGAACTACATACTATATATTCCAACACCTTCACCCGCCACTTAGACACCCCAAAAAGATCGCCACAAAGAAGAGTTTCCAAACCTATGTACTATATGTTTTCTATTCAACTCCAAAGATATATATCAGCAAGGATACCCTGATCTTAAGCCTTTGGCCGAACAAAGCGGATGAGCAGCTAACCGATTATGTATAAAATATTTATGAAATAGACCCGGCCAGGAGCTAAGCCGATGGGTTTGAATCATTAGAGCTGGGAAGGAGCACCCAGGAGCAGTCTAAATGGACAAAAAGTGTAACAAACGGCACACGCATCTTGGTCTCTACACATCCTATACACCCAGTAACCGAATCCCGAAGATGCATGCTGGGTAATCAGGGCTAGGCATCTGTAGGTTGAGTCTTTCTGTATACGAGTATTATGTTCCTGCAGGACGAAGGACCCACAAGGTTGCTCTTTCGACACCGTAATCCCTGCACTTAACCCGGGTAATAAGATAAGTAAGGCAGATCCGAGGCTTCGCTTTTGCTTTGCTTCTGCTTGTTATCTTTGTAAATTGCATGTCGAGCACTTAAGCCAATAGAAGGGAGACTTGGCCAAGACATTTCTATTGCCATGCGCGTGCTACTCTACTCTCTATTCCCATTCGGTTCACCCGATGCCCAATTCTATTCTAAAGTGATATATAGACTATAGAGGAAACCCCGAGACCCTCGGACTGATTTAGCGACTTAGAGCTTAGAGCTAGTCCGGGCTTAGGTAAGTGGATTTCTGGATTTCTGAATTCAATCCGAATCCAGGGCACATGCGATGTGTTAAGTATATAATGCGCTCATCCGATCTATTTCAATAACAAACCAGACCAGCCTAAGCCCGGCCAACCCAATAAAACAATGCGGCCCGCAAATTGTTCGCCTGATCTGCGGATTGGGCACAACAGTTCAGTTCGAAGATATATAAGGGTATATATCTCTGAGTATATATATGCAAAATATTTGAATCGAAGGCTTAAGGCGTGGGCCAAAACCGATTTAACTCTTGCCCTGGCCTAAGCTGAGCATAAACCCCAAATATGTACATACAAGATATGGAATCTAAGATTTCTTCTTTAGGAGCTGCTGAAATGAGCAGAGGGCTTATATTTTATAAACAATGCAAGGGTTTAGGCCATCTCAGTACTACCTTAAACCAGCAAAACTAATACATAGATCTGATGATTTTCCTACCAATCCTATGAAGTAACCCTAACCCGATTTGATTAAGACCTGATAAGTTGTTGCGCAACTTTCCACCCATAAGATACCCCTCCTCCTCATCAGTTTTCCCGCTGACACCTTATAAAACTGCCAGCTAATCGCTTAAGTAACATGATTTACCAACACACACACAATAATTTACAATTATTGAAAAGCAGAAAAGGAGAAAAATGGGCACACAAAATATGATAATTGCTACCGACGATCGTCTCTCAACGGAGATAAGGCTAAGGGAGTGGGGAGATTAATCTAGTAACGATGATATTAATTATCATTCCGTTTACAAATCGCTTTTGAAAGAGCAAGAGAGAGGGAAGAGAAGGAAAAGAGTGAAAAGCGCAGTATTTATGATATCGCCGAGGCTTGTTATTCGAATTTTTCCCTGTCAATCGCTTCGATTGGAAATCTAAGGGATCCGAGGGGAAAACTTGTTGATGCTGACGATGCTCCCTTTTTCTCACATCTTTTACTCCAACGCGCACTTAAGCCACGCACACACAAACACATGTCAAGTGATCAAAGAACCAGAAGCCGCCGCACCGCCGCTCCAAGTGAAATTTTCGAAAATGAAGACATCCCGAAGAGAGCCCGAAAACACACTGTTTGAGAAATTTCAGAAACAACGCCCAAGTCGGTGCCCTTTCTACTATTTCTTTCCACAATTTCCTTAACGTTCTCATCTTTCAAATTGAGGCCTAAGCAAGTCCCTTGTCTTACACTGTGAGAAATTGGGTACAAGTAACTTCTAATCCAATATTAATGTATATAATTCATACCCTAGAAAATTCTTTTTCAAAATCAAAGACGTTTCCCTTTCATGTCAAAACATCTAAGGTTTTATTTTGAATTCAAGCAACATTACCTACTATTTTATAAGTATTTCTCCCAGTGTAGCGCACATATTAGTTGAAAAATTGTATAACAAAAGTTAAGAAAAATTGCCTGCGACTGGGCGGAGGGACAGGGGAGCGAAGTGTGCTCGCTGGACAGAGATCTAGACAATGGCCTGGCTGGGGTCCCGGGGAGGGGACGGACGACCGACGACCGACTATGGGATATCATATCGGACCGGATCGTACCTGCGGTGCCCAGCACATCTCGCACAGCTGGAGTTGTCACTGGGCATGTAAAGAGCCAAACAGAATCGAGTCAATGGGTGATGGCTCATTTTGGGCCTCATCCTCTCGCATTTTTCTGCCTTTTTCGGGAATCATTTTCATGTTTGCCGCTCGGGCTAGCAAACAACTAATTAAGTCATCAGGATGAAAGCAAGTCGTCGGAGAAGGAAGCTGGGTAAATATTTACGGGATGTGACTCCGAGCTGGTCAGCAGCTGTATCTCAAGAGAAGAAGCTGCTGGGTTTGTAGAGAAAGGCAGTCAAAGAAAACTGAGAAAGCGGTGTTTGAAAATGGGAACCTCAAATGGGAAAATGTAAATAACTTCAAGATATTTGTAGTTAAGAAAAAATTAATATCAGAAATACTTTATAGTCGCAATATATCTAATATAAGTTAATGAAACTATTTTCAAAAAGTCATAATTCTAAAATTGTTTAAAAAATAAGAAAGCTTTGAGGTTTTTCTTTTTAATGTTTTTTATTTAATATTTTTTAGATAATTATTCTTAATTTAATATATACAAAAATTGGTAGGCAAACTACAAAGGTCCTCTGCTGGCAAAGATCGGCATACTTGCAAGACCTTGCAAGGCAGTCCTGAAGCTTCCAGTGCCCTTTCCTTGCTGTAGCCATCGACTTTCCAGGTCGATTTCGAAGGGCCCGCTGAAGGAGCGAAGCGGTCACTACGGTAATGACCAAAGGAATTTGCTAAATATCAGCATTTAGACGTCACGGGTTGTTTTCACGGGGGGATGGAGTAGGACTCGATCTCCTAGCTCCTCCCCAAGCGACCCTTGTCCCTGGGTTGTGTTGATCCAAAGCGCTGGGCTTGGCTTGGCGCCGGCTTCCACAGTTTAGCTGGATGGGAACTTGCCAAAGAACTGCATGCGCTGGAACAACTCGGCGTTCAGTTGGGGCGGATATCCCTGGATCTGGGCGGGATGCGGAGCCTGATGGTGGTGGGTCTGGGGAGCCTGGTACTGCATCTGCTGATAGGCGGCTTGGTAGGCGGCGGGATTCATGCGCTGGTACAAAGCGGCGGCGGCAGCAGCGGCAAAAGGCACAGCCGGATATCCATAGCCAGGAGCTGGAGTTCCATAGGGAGAACCACCCATCATGGGAGAGAAGATGGCCTGGCGGTAGGCAGCCAAACGAGTGCGGCTTGCTCCAGGATTCTTCCTCCTCAACTTGCCGGTGGTTTCGCCAATGAAGACCTCCTCGGCAGAGGGGTCCAAAATCCAGTAGTTGCCCTTGCCGGGATCATCGTAGCTCCGGGGAATCTTGGTGAAGCACTTGTTCAGGCTCAGGTTGTGGCGAATAGAGTTCTGCCAGCCCCGCTTGTTGGCCTTGAAGTAGGGGAACCTATTGATCAGGTACTGGTAGATCCCATTCAGAGTCAACCGCTGCTCAGGGCTATCCTGGATGGCCATCATGATGAGGGCATTGTAGCTGTAAGGCGGCTTCTTGGTGTCGCTGCCGGAGCTGATCTTCTGCTTCTTGCTGGGATTGCCGTCCTCGCTCTCCTGGTCATCTTCTAGCTGGTCCTCCAGCTCGTCGTCGAACTCCACATCGAGCTTGTCGTTGTTCTGGGATGACAGGCTTTCGGCGGCACTGCTCATGGGAGTGCTGGTCCTGCTGGGGCTATCGAAATCCTCCGAAGCCGAGAGTTCGCCATCGGAGTTGGAGTACGGATGAACGTACTGATGATGATGATGAACCGGTTCGGTCTTGATGGGCTGGGAAGCGGGGTTGTTGGGTTTCTTGGCCAAGATGGCATCGATGGAGAAGTTGCTTTTGAATTCCATTTCACTTTTCACCATTTTCTCTCTTCGACTTTAAGATATTTTGATCTTTGCTTTCTGATTCTCACTCACGACTTGGGATCGCTTGAGATGTTTGCGCTTGAGATGCTAGCTCTGAACTGACTCTCTACAGCCCCGGATCGGAGTATTTATAGTCCAACCCCCGGTCGCTCGAACGAAGTCTACACGAAGAGAGCCCACTGCCCGAAAGGGACGGGTAGCGCAGTGCGCCGAGTGCGTGCGAGCGAGAGAGCTGTTAGGTAGTTAGGTAGTTAAGCCCTCTTCTCAAAACTCCGCCCTCCATTTTGTGACCATTTTGTTCCACTCGCCTTCCACACACCACACATTGGACTGTGTTTGGGAACTTGTGGATGTTTATTTGCAGTCTTTTGCTGCTTCGGCGTCAAAATATCCATTACATCCAATCCAAACAGGGTCGCTCTTTGGGGTTGCTCTCGCTGCCTCTCGCTCCCACTCGCTGTTTTGACTATTAATTGCACTAACAAGCGGCAACAAACACGAAAACAAAAACAAAAGGTCTAGGGAATCGCAATTTAATCAGGATGTTTATAGTTTGATGATGGTTTTTGATTAGGAACTTAACATTTCATAATTTCTAATCATTTTCAAGGAGATTTCCGCTTTTATTGGCTTTTTATAACGTCTGCATAGCCAAAGATTTGACTGGATTTAACCTCCTTTGGCTTATAATTATCTTAAGGAAATAAGATAGAATGGGTTCTAAATATCCCTAGCAAGATAACTATATACTAACTAACTCCTATATCTGTTTTTTAACAGCAAATCGAGAACTTTGATCCACTTAACATTCTACAATGAATTCTGCGAATCAGTCTCCTAGCCAGACCATTTGGCAAGACGGACTCCTTGAGTGCTCCTAATCCCGTCGAAACTAGTTCAAGGGTCGTCCTGTGGTCCGGGGATTATCTGAAGCAGATCCTGCCTGGGCTTATGGGACGATTTTCAACAGCTCAATGGAGCTCAGGACTCAGGTAATCCGAAGGGGTTAAACCTCCGAGCAGCGGGATTTGTTCTAGTTTCGCGACAGATTTGCGAATTAGTTCAGGGCGCGCTTCGCCAGAATCAAAGTGGATCTCTGGAAATCCTTTGGAGATTAATGGACTTGGAAAATCTAGCCCAAATCTCGAATGTTTGTATGGCTCGGCATTAGCCAGCATTGGAGTTTAGAGTTGGTCTCAAGAAAGTTAAGTTCTGTTTAGGTGATTTGCTAGGGATGTTTTGAGATGAAGTTAGGGATCTCAAAATGATCTGTATAAACTAATAACTGGAGTAATCTTTTTATATGGAAATAAGTAGATATCTTTTGGTAGTTACAGAGACCTTTAGAGAGTATTTCAGGGACTTAATATTTGTTAGATCATGACAGGGTTGACAAATCCAAGGACATGTGCAGCTCACATGGGAAAACATCCTTCAGGATCAAAGTGTCGCCGCCTACACTTGGCTAGTTGGCTACCGAACTGGTCCTAAGCCCGGGAATCGGTTTGGCGATGGACCGCGACTGGACCCCGGCTACAAAAACAAGGAAGTACAAGTGGTTTTTGTTCCAGAGTGTTTTATGTTTTTATGGCATGTTTTGTTAGAACAATTGGACAAATATTCAGTCAGATAAATCGGGCGAAAGTCAAGTAGAGACAATGAAGACGTCAGCGCTGTGGGTTATTACAGATGGATGGATGGGATGGCTAGATGGGTAGATGGGTAGTTGGGGGCGAGTACTTGTCGGCGGCACTGTGCGTTTGATATTTTAGACAACTTGACAAAACAATCAAAGCAGCAACAACACATGTTCCAAATGACTGTCTATTAATTTGCCCCTTCTCATATTTGGTTTTTTGCCCAAAACCCAAAAAAGTGAACAAAACAATGGAAGAGCAGAGGAGGGAAAAAGTAGGCAGCGCACTTTTAACGCAGTAGTCCAATTGCCGATGATAATGATGCACTCAGAGGAGTCGGCAGAGTTGAAAGTGGCCGAAAGAGACGAGACTAGCCGGTGGGAAAGGGAGAGGGGAAAAAGTAGGCGGTTAACAATTGCCGAGGCGGCAGGTTCAGTTACTATTCTTTCTTCTACCGAGCGATTCTTTCTTTTCAATGCGAGGGATAAATGAAGATTTGAACGCCTCGATTTTCTTTTTGCGGCTTCCCTTTTCTCTCTTTTTCCCTCTTTTTTGGCTGAGCCACTAATTGAGTTGGAAATTTGTGTAGTTTTTTGCAAGTCCGGGCAGCAGATGAAAGGCCTTTCGCCGACTTTGACTTTGACTTTTCCCTGGTGAGTGCCGCATTTTGACAGCCGCGACAAAACTAATTGATTTGTGAAATCCCAAAGCCATCCTGGACACACACATTGCTGGGCTATCATGGGTTAACGGGTAATTATTAATTAGGTTATCAAAGAGAAGTTTTAAGGCTAAAAAAGAAGCATTCTTGACTCTTTATTTGACTTTAAGGTCCCTCTGGTGAGAAGATAATGCTCTAAAACGAATCGATTAGCGATTCGAGATCCTTGAGCGGACACCTTGAGCAGACCGAGAGCATGTGGTCGCTGATTGGGTGATCAGGACGCGATCAGGACCACGCTGCTTGACATTATGGTTTCATTGCCAAAACCACACTTAGGCGTTTCCTTGGCGAGCTTCACGCTTCGAGCCAACGCTACGCCTGCCTCATTAGCTCACAAAAACTATGGAAAACTATGGAAAACTATTGAAAACCAAGAAAGACTAAGGCAATGCATAAGCGAATTCCAAGTAGACACCGTGGCCACAGACAATGTCCATGTAATTTTCAATTAACGCCACAAGATTTCCCTCCTTCAGAACTTTCGCCCGGTTTCGTTCCACTGTGGGTGAGCATTGAGTCCCATAATTGATCGTAATGTGCGATATTCCCAGTCCCAGTCCCAGTCCCTGGCCTCTATTGCAAGTCCTGTCAACAGGACTCGCTGCTATTCGTTCCTTAGAGACTGTCACATGGCCGGGAGACCAGCAGGACATCTTTTGCATTTGTCGCGCTCAGCAAGTCGTCCGCTCGTCCTCGCACTTTGCCTTTCTGTCATTGTCCTGTCGACAGGATATTCTGACCGTATAGGCCGTAGTTTATGGCCTCAACAATGGCCATGATCGATCTATCGTTGCACACCCAAAAAAGAGCGATTTTTTATGCATCCCAGCCGCTGAGTCCTGTCACTAATCAGGTCCTTTCTTCAGGCATTTCTGCATAAGTCTCAGTTTATTGATAAGTCCGGTGTCAATCCCAGATTTTGAATGAATCCCGCTACTTGGCTTAAGTTTATATGGCCCTTACGATCTGGTTTCACTTTTAGGGTTCTCAAGTCTGTCCATCAGGTAGTGGGGAAACTCGCAGTTTATGGGCAGCCAGGTATGGGAAAATATTTAACACCTCATTGTAAAAGAGCCATAAATATAGATTTCTTTCAGATACAATAAAAATTGTTTAACAATGAAAATAAATTAATTAAATTGCAGAAGAGAATGGGGAATATTGATAAGTTGCTTAAATTTTTATACCAAAAGTTAAATTTCATTTTTTAATAGCGTTAAAAATCGTTTCCCCTTAAAAACCTCAACCTTAAGTTGTCAGAATTCATATTTCCAGCTACAAAGAGCCGCGTTCTCAAGGGCCACCACCTCCTCTTTTGCTCCTCCTTGAAGGCATCTTAAATTTGGTTTATTTTCTAGCCATATGTGAGTCAAAGTTCCACTTAAGTAGAGTCGCCTCCCCCATATGGAAACAGCTGGAGATCGTGGGCAGCCTCCTTGCCTCCTTTGACAACTTTATAGCCTAACGAGCTGAAAGGATCTCCAAGCGTACAGTCGACACCCACAATAATCGATCGGTCCCATGCCGAGGCCCATAAAAAAACATTTCGCATCCTTCGGGGGCGACTGCGACTTATTGATTAAGTTGTCCATGCGGTTGGGATTGGGATTGCCAGGCAGGATGCGTGGCAGGAACCTGGAAGGATCTCGCCCGCTATAGTCGATCGAATTATAAAGGGCAACTGGTTGCTATGGTTGCCTTCCATCCACCATTTCCCATTTTCCATTTCCCATTGCAGCTTGCCAGCCAGAACTGAATTGATTCGTCACGCAGATTTCGATACATTAAATGCAATCATTTGACAACAGGACGAAAATATTTTCATCCATTGTGTCCTAACAACTAGGATACAGACTCTGAGTGTGTGTGTGTGTGAGTATCAGTGTGTGCGATGTGATGGTGTCTATGGTGTGTATGATAAATCAGGATTCGTGAGTGACTCCTTGCAGGTTTCCACAGCAGTGGGACTCCCCCCAAAGCGTAGCAAATGCGAGATGAGGATGCTTCTTTAGAGGATATCTCAGGGGTTAGGCCTCTATATCTCTCCCTTTCTGGGCGTGTGAAATCGGGGAACAACGCCTGGGAGCTGGCGATAATTGCTCGTTAGTAGCTGCACCATGTCCATGTCGGTTTTCGATCAATGCTCAGTCCTTTCTTTTGGATTAAGATGTTAGGAGCAGAATGGGACTGTACTTATGTACTGGATATAGTCCAGAAATTGGAGTTTTATAGTTGATGCTCTGCGTTTTAAGTTATTACTATATCCTATAGCGTATAGTCTCTAGCCACGGAAACAAGTCCAATCACACCTGTTCTTATCTTCAATCTAGCAAAAATTAGAAAGGAATCCCTTCTAATACCTTCATTAGCAGCTTATATACTTTTGATCCAATCCCATTGTTGTCCCCATTTTGGTTGACACCTCTAAAGACATTCTCACCTCCACGATAATAAAATATTATCCTCCTGATCTTCCCATATCGATTACAACATCCCATTGGCCAGATCAGGTTCCCCGGAATGCCATTAACCCGATTGGGCCAAAAGTGACAACATAATCCTCATGAAGTAGCCCAAAGGAGCCGACTTCCCTTTGATCCATATAGCCCGATCATCATCGCCGTGATTTTCGTCTAATCTTGTGATTTTTGTGTGGCAACATAATCGAACGGAGATCGGCAAAGATCATAAAGAGGCAGGAGGAGCCGCAGGACCAAAAGGACA